TATGAGTCAGAATCAACTTGACTGGCAGTGAGTGATGGCTAGTAAAGCTATACCATGCAATTCACTACACCACAGACCACCTCCTGGCTTTTCTAGCCATTATCCCTTTTATAATTCAGAAATGAACATCCCCTTCACCATTAGTTTAAGAATAACCACACATAATGAAAGCATGTAAGCCAGCCACTTCATGCCTTTATCTTCCCCCATTTTACATAACAATTTCTCATTTGCTTATCCATATCAGACCAGTATTGTAAGGAGACAAGCATGTTCCTTTCTCTCTGGAGAATCTTCTGTTCTGCTTGGAAACTTTGGCCATCTGCATCCATAAACAAGCAAAGTCCAGCCCAGCACAAGCCATCAAATTACAGCAACTTAATACCAGCTCAGTGTCAAACATTTTCCTCTTCATTTGGTCAGCTCAGCCCACGCTATCCCAGTTAGGTCATGGATACCAACTGCCAAGTTTTGGGAGTCACACTCTTCCCTTTACTTCAGATAACCAAAAACCAAACCAAACTCACTGCCACTGCATTGGATCTGATTCATAGCAACCCCTCCTTGGGTTTCCATGGTGGTATCACTACGGAAGTAGATTGTCCAACCTTCCTTCCAAGGAGTGGTTGGTGGGTTTGAACTGCCAGCCTTCTGGTTAGCAGTCAAATGCCTTAGGCACTACACCACGAGCGCTCCCTACTTGAAACAAGCCAGCACTTTTTCTCTCTCATCCTTAGTCTTCAGGGACTAGTTCCACATATCTCCTTCTACTTCAGACCAGCCAGCCCTTCCTCTAATCCCCAGCCTCCATGGCCTAGGTCAGAGAGTACCAAACTCAGCCCATTTCTTCATTGCTGCACTTCCCCCATTTCCACTCCTCAAGTGGACCCAGGTGATCACAAGGAAGGAGCATGCATGTCTACTACTTGCTGGTTTCCTTTAACTTGCAGTCCTGGGAATGGGATTCTCTCCTGGACCATGCTTTTTCCTGCCTCCATACACCCAAAGCCTAATTGTTTGCTTTAAATTCAGGTCTTTTCTTCAAATGCAGACCTTCTGTTCTCTCAGTAGTTCTGGGTTGGTCTTTTCAAATGCAAATTTCCTCACTAAGCAGGTTCTGAGTAGGGCTCAGGTTTTCTACCTGATCCCCCTGTACTTTGCATGCAGGGTTTGAAACAAAAGCCTGTGTTTCTTCTGGGCAAATTCTGTTTCCCTTGTTAAACGTATCCAATCAAGTACTGGCTGATGGCAGACTTACCCACTCTCTGTTATCCATACCCCATAATCATTTCTAACATACAAGTAGAAACCAAACCAGTTGTTTGGCAAAACTAACCAATCCCAGCATCGCAGTTCTACACACCTGAGAGAGAGAGTGAACTTTCCCAGAACGTTACTTCGTGCTTCCCCAGGTGGGTGACTTTAACAAACCCACCAGTCACTCCTGGGAAGGAAGGTTGGGCAATCTACTTCCGTAGTGATACTGCCTTGGAAACCCAAAGAGGGGTCGCTATGAGTTGGATCTGACTCACCAAACGGCAATGAGTTTGGTTTTTGATTTTGTACTCAGTTGTTCACGGCAAAGTGGGAATTACAAAGAGCTCTGGTAGCATAGTGCCTAAGGCACTTGACTGCTGACCAGAAGGCTGGCGGTTCAAACCCACCAGCCACTCCTTGGAAGGAAGGTTGGTCAATCTACTCTTGTAGTGATACTGCCTCGGAAATCCAAGGAGGGGTCGCTATGAGTCGGGTCAGACTCAACGGCACATAACAACAACAACAACAACAAGAAAAGCCATACCGTGTAATTCAGTACACCATACCCCCAAAGAGCTCTTACATATCAGTAAGTAAAATGAGTAACACAATGTTGTTGTTATGTGCCGTCCAACTCGTAGCGACCCCTCCTTGGGTTTCCGAGGCAGTATCACTACGGAAGTAGATTGCCCAACCTTCCTTCTGAGGAGTGGCTGGTGGGTTTGAACCTCCAGCTTTCTGGTTAGTAGTCAAGTGCCTTAGGCACTATGCCACCAGAGCTCCTCAATAATACAATAGAGAGACAGTATATGGAAAGATGCTCCATACAGTATTAATCAGCAATGCATATTAAGACAACAGTGAGTTACCAGTTTCAGATTAGTAAAAATGAGAAAAAGACTGCTCTATCTAGTTTTAGGAGGGGTGTGACCACTGTGTTACTATGAGCACAAATTAATAGAACCTCTTAGAAGGCAATTCTGTTACATTGTTAAACTTTAATTTAGATGTAAACTTTAAACAGTTCTACTTCTAAAAATCTGTTCTTAAGAAATCATGCAAGTGGACAAAGATAAAGATACAAAGGATATTTATACGCTGCTGCAGTGCTTAGAAACCACCTAAGTACACACCAGTGGAGGAGGAGATTGATTAAATAAGTTATTGCAGACATTGAAAAAAAAAATTAGGTAGATCCATATTTGCATATGGTTAGAAATTCTAGAATAATATGTACCACAATGTTAACAATGAAAGTAAGATTGCCAACATTTTCTATTCTATATACTTCTATACTGTTTGACCATCACCTATCTGTTTGTCCTACTGTGGTGGCTTGCATGTTGTTATTATGATAGAAGCCATTCCACTGGTGTTTCACGTACTAGAAGGGTCACCCGTAGTGGACAGATTTCCCCAGAGCTTCCAGACCAAGATAGGCTAGTAAAAAAGGCCTGGCAGTCTACTGCTGATCCTCAGCCAGTGAAAACCTAATGGACCACAGCAGAATGTTGGCTGGCTTCCTGCTAGAGAAGAACATCCTGTTTAGGGAAGTGGAGGGACAGCGAGAGCATGAGAGACCCTCAGTGAGATGGAGTGGCACAGTATCCACCACGATGGACTCAGAAATGCTGGTGATTATGAGGATAATAGGGCAAGGCAGTGTTTTGTTGTCTTGTTCATAAGATGACCGTGAGTCAGAGTTGACTTGATGGCAGCAAACACCAACATATTTGAATTTTTAGTTGGACAATTGTATTAAAATGATCTCTGCTTCTAGGAAATAAATACTTAAAGAAATGCTGCCACTTAAATTGGCTTAAAGTTTATTCCAGTTATTCATTTGCTCATTCATTCAACAAATATTTATTCAGTGCTTGCTAATAGCCAGGACTGTGATGGGGTGACAGTAAATAAAACAAGTAAATAGTTCTATGTTAGAAAAGTGTAGAGTGAGGTAAGGAAGATTGAAAATGCGATTTTCAATGTAAATTTAAACAGGGTAGTCAGAAAAAGAGCTGTTAGCGGAGGGTGGGGGCGAAATGGAAAGCTTCGAAGGAATTGCACTGCTTACTGTGGGTATATGATTCAAGTGGGTCATATGATTCAACATTTGAAGTTGGAAGCATTCTAACTCCAGTCTTGAGGAACTGCGTGGTGACCCTTTTTTCTCACCTTTTATTTATTTATTTATTTTTTATTGTGCTTTTGGTGCAAGTTTATAGATCAGAGTTTGTTTTACATTCAACATTTCATGTACATTTGGTTCACTCCCCAATTACCATCCCCAACCCTAACCCAGTCTCCTTCCCTCCCTGCCCAGTAACTCCCCCCGCCAATGCCCCTCATAGTTACACACTCCTGTGCGTCCTGCATTTCCTCCATGCAAATGTTGCCTCTCTGGTGTCCCACACGGTCGATCGCTCCAAGGGATGCATCTCCATATATAGTATGTGAGTCCGTCACTTTGGGCTGAGTGATCTGCATGTACATCTTGTTTACTATTGGGCTGAGAGCCAAGCCCTCGGAGTGAGTTTTATTCCAGGCCCAAAACCTATCCCAGGGCCATAGTATTGGGGGTCCCACCAGACTCCATCTGACCAATAATTCTGGTAATTACTGTGTTTTTGGGATTTTGTTCCATGTTTTTCCTCTCACTCTATCCAGGATCTCCAGTTTTGATCCCTTCCCAAGTGGTTGGCATTGGGAGCTGGCACCATCTAGTTCTTCTGGTCTCAAGGTCTATCATGTCCTAGGACTGATTGCTTCCAAATGTCCTTGGCTTTTTTTTTTTTTTTTTTTCCTCCTTCTGTTGCACTCTTCTTTGCTTCCTATGATAGGAGACCATTAGCTGCATCATAGATGGCTACTTGAGAGCTTTTAAGACCCTAGTTGCTACTCACCAACGTAGATTGTGGAACAAGATTTTTATGGATTTTCTTGTGCCAATTGAGTCTGGTGTCCCCCACTACTATGGTCCTGAGTTGGTAGATCTGTTGGATCTGTCTTCCACAATGTCTGTCTGTTTGTCAGGGATTGCTCTATGTCTGTCTTCTGTTGTTTCTATAAGGATTGAGGGTATTTTGTATCATTGGTATCTGTGCAAGATTAGCCTCAGCTGACTCTGTCCTTGGTCTAGAGTATAATCCTGTTTACTGACCCCCATCTGATCCTCTCAGATGGTTATGTGTTTATCTATAGCCTGGTGTTTGGTGTTAATGGTAATGCAGCATTGTGGACATACTGGTATTTGCCTCTGCCGTTTATATCTTATGTGCACAATTCAGTGTCCTCCCTTTTCCTAATGTTATCATGGCAGTACAGATTCTTTCCATACCATCCCTCCCCTTACCCACATCAGCGTTTTCTCACCTTTTAAAATCTAAATTCTTAAAATTTGTAACAAATTACAGAATTCTATGTTGAGTGTTGAGGTTCTCAAATTTTACATGTATAAATAAGAATAATAAGCTCATTTCTGGTCTCTGAACCCACACTGTTGAATCAGATCTTCTGCCATTAGAGCCATGGGAATACACATTTTTAAGTACCACTACTAAACTTTTTATATGGGTAGTCCCAGGTCCACACTTTGACAACAATCTTTACTCCTTTGTTAGGAGTCTGCTTTACTCTGCCTAGCAGCAGATAGCCCCCCACACGTTCAAGTATACATGTCATTACTATGACTTACTTACTTTTCAAATCAAAGATAATGGTTTGTTTGTTTTTCCTCTGTAAAGGTATCATCAAACGGTATTCAGTCTACTCCTCTGAATCTTGCAACATACTGGAAATGTACTGTTGGCACCACAGATCTCAGGGTGGATTACAAATACAACCCAGAAGCTATGGTGGCGCCAAGTGTGCTTTCCAACATACAGGTGGTGGTACCAGTGGATGGAGGAGTCACAAACATGCAGTCCCTTCCCACTGCAATATGGTAAATTAAGTACATTTCTGAATTATGGCCAAATTTCTGTTGTAGCTCCCACCTTTTAGAACCCAGCTTCTGAAAGTTACTTCATAAGTTTGAACAATTTTACTGCATTTACCCATACAAACCATTGCTATAAAAGATGCTTTTGTACTTGTTAAGCCACAGTAACCTCAATCCAAAATGAACAAAACTAGCTTTGCTGTCATCACCGTACTAACTTCCCTTGGGCAAATTGTTCACATCTGTAAGCTTCCCTTTTCCCCCCTTTTAAAATATAAGAATAATAATACTTATTTTACAGAACTGAATACTTCATCTGGCATTGATTAGATGTTTCAATAGTATTAGTTACTCCAGTCCTTTAATCACTTTTCTTGTCTCTATAATTGGTAGTGGGAGCTCTGGTAGCATAGTGGCTAAGGCACTTGACTGCTAACCAGAAGGCTGGCGGTTCAAACCCACCAGCCCCTCCTCAGAAGGAAGATGGGTCAATCTACCATCTGTAGTGATACTGCCTCGGAAACCCAAGGAGGGATTGCTATGAGTCGGGTCCGACTCGACCGCAAACAACAACAATTGTTGGTAGTACAGACTCTAACCATTCTTCTCTATTTAATAATAATAGTTTGTTTTCTTTGATCATGAGGGTACTAAACCACCTATAAACATCAGTTTTCCTTTTTCTGACCAGTAGAAAAATTACGTAATTTGGTAAACTTCCATTAATTGAGAAACATGGAACATTATATTATACTGTAAACACGTTTTCACAATGTAATACTAGTTAAAGTAACTTTAGGACTTATATTTAGGACTAGTTGTTCTAGGAAAAATTTTAAAAATTTATGTATTGAATGCTCATCCATGTATAAGAGACATCTTATCTTAGACATTTAATCTAAAGAAATTTTCTTATTACAGGAATGCAGAACAGATGAAAGCCCTTTGGAAATTGTCTGGTATTTCAGAGAAATCAGAAAATGGAGGTCAGTATGTACACACTTTTTTTTTGATAATGTGATGTGACTGGAAATTGATTTTTTAAGGTATGTTTATTGAAAGTTCCTTGGAATTTCATTTCTGGTCAGTTCCAGAATTGGCCACTAGGTGGAAGTTAATACCCTATATAAGAGCAAACCACCTGAGAGTGAGAACACATTTTTTTATCTCTAGATTGAATATGCTTTTGAAAAATAATTTGCTTTCCTGTAACTTTATAAATATTATGTAAAGGATTCTGTGCTACAAAATAACATTAAAAGAAAATACCTAATAAATTATGCTAAATAAGTTTAGTTCATTCTGTTAATGGAGTCTTCTGGCCTCCCAGAAATCATATAGAAGCTTCCAGGCCTTAAAAAGCCCCCATGCCTACTTCATCTTTCTAAGAGAACCTTTCCTGGTCATTTTATCCCATTAAAACTAACCATCAGTTGCTTTCAATTCTCTGATGATTATTTAAGGAAAAACAAGGCAATGTCCTTTTCCCACTAAATCTGTCCCTGTGGTCACAGTGAAAAGGAAAGGTCTCTGCTGGCTGATCACTCCTAGTATCTCCCCTGCCAACTCAGCTCAACTTATAATTAGGATATAGTTCCCAGACAATCAAGCCTTTAATATCAGATATTCTCATTTTTTCTTAATCAAAGGAGAATTCCCCTGCCCACTTTTGAATACCTAATTAAGTACGAATAACTTATTGACTATTCTTTTTGCTTCTCAAGTTTTGCTCATATTTTTCTTTTTGAACTTTTTAAGCACATTGTTATCAAAATATAAAACGTACCAGCTTTCTACATAGGTACTTTTTAGCGTGAACATGGTGGTGTTGGTTCACATGCATTTCATCAGAATCTGACTTTTTTACTGGAGAGCCACACATTGAGTGGAATCAGTTTCCTTGCTGCTGTTTGGTACTTCTTTTCTCAGGTGACCAGCTGCACTGAATTTTACCCTAATTAAATGACTTCTTTGGGGGCTAAACTGAAATTCCTAGTTTAAACTAAAAGTAAACCAGAAGTCCTACTTGAATTGAGGGCTTACAACCATTTAGCAAAGAAGGGATATATTTTCCTCTTTAATGAAACTATGCTATTGTAAATACACCTACTTCTCACTTACCAATGTGGTTAGTTTCCAAAGACCAGATCACTATGTAAAAATCAGCATTATGTAAAAATGGAGGATGACCACATTAGGTCATGAAATGGAAGATGACTGTCTCATTACATAACTGCAAAACCACTGAGAATCATTGCCCAGATAAGGTGACATATAACTTTAACCATCACAGCCAAAATCACTCTCACCCAAGCACCTTGGTGTCTGTTCCTGCCACACATACATCGCTAATATGCAAAATAGTTAGATAGTAGATTTTTGACTATTGTTGTAAAAGTGAAATGTCAGATAATGAGGTAGATGATAAGTGAGGAGTAGGTGTACTTACCACCTATTTTCAAAAACAGAAACAACTTTTCTTAGCCAGGTATTTTAATCTGTTATTCAGGTATCAGAGGGTCTGTAAGAAGAAATGGGAAAATCTTAGAAATGTGGTTCTGATTTTGTATTAGGCAAGCCTTTAAAAAGAAATATTCAAATTAAAACAGTATAAAATAGAAATATTTGTTTTTGGCTCTACGTCCAGAAGAGGGAAAGGAAGTAATTCTAAAGTTTAAGGATCACTGAGGTGGCTACTCTTAGCCTATGGTGGAACTTTCACAGATAAGAATTGCGTATCAAAAACTGTAAAAGTTTAAGAGGACGTGGACAATGAGTAAGAATTAGGCATCGATTCCTCTCCTCTACTGATCTGTACCACCAGACATTAATAGTGCAGTTAGGAGCATTGTTTCTCTTTGTAGTGAAGATTTTGCTAAACTTCTGTTCAAGGAGTCACAGCACTTCACTTTACCCAGCAATTCCATCCACTTGTCCTGATCAGAAACCTGGGAACCCTCTTTAGACTCCTTCTCCTTCCCTACCTCTGGATTCTAACCCCTCAATATCTTTCAAATGCATTCCTTTCTTTATTTCCCCTTAATCCCAGTTCACATCTCACTTTTCTGTCATCTAGAGTGCTAGGCTATTTGTTGACTTTCAGTTGGTCTCCCTACCTTCTGTCTTGCTTCCCTCCTTCTACAACTCAAACCTGAAATGTTATAACATGTGAAATTATCTATAGAATGCTTCTTGCTTTCAGTTTAGTCTCACCTTCTGCCAGTCTCCTCCTGCTTGTACCCTGTTCTCTAGCTACTCTGTTGTATATGCAGTTTCCTAAAGGCAGTGTACCCATAGTTTACTCTGCCTGTAATGCATCATCACTACCACTATCTGTAAATTCGGGCAGAGATATGTGCTTGTGGGCCCATATCTCCTGTGAGCTCCTGTACAACATTTCTCTCATTCATTGCATTTATTAGTTTACTGTTTCTGTCATACTGTAAGACTGAAGTATATTGAACAAATGGTCATATCAAAAAGAAAACACCTGAGAAATAATCTATTTGGCATGACATTAGACTAGTAAAATTCTTAAAGGTGAATAGAAAATACTAATTTTAAGACAACTCTTCCTAATCTTAGCTACTTTTCCTTCTTTACCTCTCCATTCCCATGATATGGGTAACCTGCAGTCATTTTCTTCTTACTTTATCCCACTCATATCCCTCCAAGGGCTTCCCTCTGTGCTGTCCTCAGTGGCTGGCTGGCTGACTTCTCTGTTGGCTCACTTTAATATGCTTGTAGCATGGGCATCTCAGTAGTAAACCTCTCTGAAGATGTCTTTTGTCAAAGAAAAGTATGAATTAAGTTAGTTCAAATTCACTGAATAAACTCTGATTTGGAAATGGGACAATGATTTCTTTATTGTCCACAACTTATGAATTTGGTGAATTTGATGTTGTTTACCTTACATGCTCATTTAATTTTATTTGATATGAAATGTGTTATACCCTGTGTAAGTTCTTTATTCTTTTCCTTGTAGGTTCTGGGTCCCTCAGAGCAAAATTTGATCTTTCAGAAGGACCCAGTAAACCCACAACACTTGCAGTGCAATTTCTCAGCGAGGGAAGTACCCTCTCAGGAGTAGATATTGAACTTATAGGCACTGGCTATAGGCTTTCCTTAGTAAAGAAGCGGTTTGCCACTGGTAAGTTGGGAGATTTCAAGGTTTTTACTATACATGGGAAACATTTGTTTTCTGACAGTTACTAAACAACTGTCAAGCAGTTTACAATCTAAAGACATGGAAGTTTTTTCTTTGACCCTTGGTACAAAGTGCCAGGTAGGAACACACCTGGGAGATAGAATACCTATGGTCAGGATAGTTGAACACCTTTGATCTCATTTTCATATGTTGTAAACAGCAGATGGGAACTGGGGTTCTGTATCTATAACAACAATGGAAAGTGTCCTCCTTTGAGTTCATTTGGAATAATAATTACAAAGGTCTGCTTGGTGTTTTTCAGGACGATACCTTGCAGATTGTTGATGGACCTGGGAAAGTAGTTGGCTCAAAGAAGTAGTGTGAACCTGCCATTCTGCATTATACGTTCTTTTCAAATACTATTCTAACTTGTATTATGTCTTTTAAACTTAAGACATATTTGAGAACTAACTACACACATTAAATTGCACTTTTAAAGTCAGTCATTCAAAGAAGTACCACTGAGATGATTTTCAATGCTATAAATGATAAACTGCAATATTCAGGAAGCACGTTATTCAGAATCTCAGCAAAATGAAGTTTTAATAGTGAAATTTACAATTATCTTCATTGTCTATGTTGAAAACAGATTATGGTGGAAACATCAGATCTAAAGTTTCAGAAGAACAACCATAAAATAATTTTAGCTTTCCGTAAATTTTTAGTGTCAGAGATAGCTTGGAAATTTCATAAGTTTGATATTAAATGGATACAAACAGAACATGAAATTTAAGTTTTGGATAATGGTTACTCAGAATACTCAATCAAATTGAGTGATGTGCCATAAAATAATCAAACTAGAGTCCTAGTTGTACGCAAAAAATTTAAAATTTGATTCTCATATGAGCATATTAATAAAGTGTAAATGGTGTTTTATATGATTTTTGTTAATCCTCAAGTGCAATGTGTTTTAAAATAAGCTTGCAAAAGACAGCAGAGATACTTACTTCTGCAGTTAGTTAACTTTATTAGAAGTTGTGATTGTTTTGATGAATTAATGCTATAGATTTAATTTATTTTTATATGGATTGCATAATGTGTGCCTTTTAAAACAATAACAAAAACCAGAAATGTGCCTATCCAAGTTTGTGTTTGTTAATGTATCTTACTTATTTTCTCACAGGCTGAATTTTCTATTGAGAATCTTAGAGTGGTCAAGCAGCTTTATAAGATATTTACAATCTTAGTAAATATTTGTAGCTGCCTTTGGGAAGGGATTTCAGAATAACTAAAAGATAATTTATACTTAAGAGATTTCTGGCTCATTTCCTTAGTAATACACTGTAGCCACTAGAAAGGAAACTATACCTAATGGCATATATTTATAGGGAAAAGAAATTAACTTCAAATATTTGATCTTAACTTTATCAAAAGTATGAATTTTTAGACATAAACTCTGAAACACTATAATGGTAAAATGGCAATTGGAATTTTTACTCTCAATTTAGCATTTTCTTAATTACTCCATTTATCATTGAAAATGTACCCATTTATTCACTGATTATATTGTGAGCATGAATTTTGTAGTATTTTTGTGAGGAATAGCATTTTGGATAAGATGAATTTTGACAACAGAAGGAGAAATACTGCCATTTGTTTTGTTTTCGACAACTGGAAAAGTAATCAGTCTGTACATTATTTCATCATCACCTGTTAAAAATAGAGAATGTATATGAAGTGATATTTTGGGGTTATCATTTTTTAAGCTACTAATGTTAAATAGAAATCTAACTTTATAACAAATCCTAATTGCAGAAATGAAATATTTTGGACAAATTTTCATGCTTTACAAGTGGGAATTTATTTATAATGATAAATGCCAGTGTCTTTCACTTTGCATAGAAGTAGTAAGTTGTGTTTAGATGATAATTTATATAAAACCACTAATTGTTCTGTTAAGCTTACAGAAGAAAAAAAAAAAACCCTTTCACTAAATATTTCTTTAAAATTGTGCTATATTAAATACAGCAGAAAATCTACTTTAGCAATATATAACACACTATGTGCTTTTATGTATATTCAGTGTTAACCCAATTCTAAATTTAGATTTGACTGAAACAACACATGACAATTTGCTAACATGTTAATCTTTACTAAGTAGTGAGCAAAACTAGAATTTCTAACTCTTATATTGTGCTTTTTAATACCAATTACGGTCGTTTATAGGAAACGTAACTGTAATCCGCTTTGCAATCAAACTGCTTTTATTGAGCAGTTAATATTTTGTTATTGAAATCCAGACATTATTATACTCACTGTTTTTGTTTTAAATCAAGTATTACCTTCAGATGTACAAATTAGTGAAATGGCTGAACTTCTGCACTTTCTTATTACCATGGTCTTCATGCCAGATGTTGATATATATAAATTTCTACTCAGTGCAGGTTACAATTTTGAAGCCATATACGTTTATATTGACTTTTTTTTTTTTTTCTTTTTTAAAAAAATCCACTAATGGTGTAAAACAGACCAGTAGATTTTCAATGGGGAATGTATTAGCAAGCTGGTTCTTGCTTATGTATAGTTACAAACTTGTAGCTTCTCTTTAACCAAGAATTTGTAAACACAGAACTCTAACAAATGTGCATTTTGAGGGTTGTTATTTACTACTTTGGGTTGTAATTAGAACAGTGCAAATCTATCTTAAAATTTTGTACATATTTTTGATTTTTTTCATAAAATGTAAATTTTACATAAAAGTTGCACCCTTAATAAACATGTAATATATAATTTATCACTTGGTTTTTGTGTCTTTGTATTCCTATTGAGAGTAATAACTGTGCCATAGATGTTAGGGGAATGCAAGGCAGCCAGGAATTGAATCATTACCTTGATCTTTGTATCACCACTTGAACAGGTATATAAAGTAAACTGCTATTTAATTTTATTGATTGTATAGAAAAACTTCATTTGGAGATTTCCCCAAAAATATAAAAATTCTTTAAAAAGAGCTTTTATGTGTGTGTTTTGAAATATGTTGTTAAGCTTCAGCACAGACTTTCATCCTGACCAGTGGCTCTGGAGCACAGTCTTACACAACTTTAGAATCATTTTGTTCTGAAGAAATAATTAAGAACAAGAAGATCCTCTCAAAACAATGAGTTTAGAAATGTACAAAAAAAAATGAAAATGAAACAAAGAAGAATTCATCTTAAATATACAAACTTATGTTATAAAAAGAAGCACTTGAGTGAATCTAAATCAGGGCTGGGGAACTTATGGAAACAGTAGGTAGCACTGTTACTATTCTTACCATATGCCCATTATGTTCCCCTTCATTTTCTTTTTCTCCTTCCCCCACTTCCATTCTTATTAGGGTAAGTGGTGCTAGCTGCTGTAATAAGGAACTCCAGCATCTCAGGATGAAATCTTAATACTATATTGATCATATCACAGTCTGATGTAAGTTTGAGGAGGAACTTTGTTCCATACAGTAATTCAGGGCTCCAGGCTCATTGCATTTTCTGATTTCTCCTCAGAAGCTTCTCCATTTGGCTGTCAGAGGGGAAAGAGAACAAAGGTTATATGGGTGTTTTTTTATGGGCCAGAGCCAGAACTGGCATCAGCACTTCTGCCCACATTCTATTAACCAGAACTTGATTTTGTGGCCCCAGCTAACTGCAGGGGAAGCTGGGACATATAGTTTGGTTGTGTGCATAGGAGGAAAAGAAAACAACATTTTGATAAACAGAGTGGTTCTTTTACCAAGAATTCCTCGGTGGTGCAAAAGGTCAATGTACTTGGCTGCTAACCAAAATGGTGGTGGTTCAGACTTGGAAGAAAGGCCTCCCAATGTGCTTTTTGAAGGTAAAAACCATGGAGTGCAGTCTCCTTTGTAACATGAGGTGACCTGACCATGAGTTGGAATCCATGGCAGATGATTTAGTTGTTGGTTTTTGTGTTTTTTTAATTTTTATTCTGATATGGGTGATAGTTTACAGAGCAAATTCATTTCCCATACAGCAGTTCATAAACATTTTTGTCTCAGGACATTGACTGCAATTCCCTACAGTGTAACAGCTCTCTTCCTACTTCCTCCCTGTAGTTACCTCTTCCCTGTGCCCTTCCCTCCCATATACTACACCCACCCCCCCAGCTGTCTCCCTGTGCAAACACTGCCCTTCTGTTCTTCCATGATTGATCGTTCCAAGGAGTGTATCTACCTGATATAAATGTTCACCCTATATGCCTGTCTGTTGTTTGGCTGGAAGCCACAGGATTGAGTTCAGTTCCAGACCTGAAAGGTCATTAGAGCCTCATGGATCTTACCAGGTTTGATCAGACCAGCAAATCTGGTCTTTTTTTTTTTTTTTTTTTTTATGATTTTGAGTTTTGTTCCATATCTATCCAGGATCTCCTGCACTGATCTTGGTCTGAATGGTTGACAGTGGTAGCCAGCCAGGCACCACCTAGTTCTTCTGGTCTTATGGTCTTATAGCCTAAGGATCACATGATCTATAAGTCCCTTGGACTAATTGTTTCCATGCATCTTTGGTTTTCTTCATTATTCTTTGGACAAGGAGAGACCCATCATTGCATCTAGAGGGCCACTTGCAAGCTTTTAAGACCCCAGTCACTATTCACCAAAGTAGGATGTAGAACAGTGTTTTTGTATGGTATGATATGCACAACTGGTTTAGTTTTAATAGCTAATGATGTTGAGCATCTTTTCTTGTCCTTGTTGGCCATTTCTGTTTCTTCTTCTGGAAATTCTATCTATTCAGGTCCTTTGCCTCTTTAAAAAAAAAAATTGCATTGTTTGTCCTTTTTTTAAGTTGTAGAAGTCCTTTATATATTCTGGACATTACACCATCATTCGATATGTGATTCCCAAAATTTTCTTCCAGTGTAGGTTGTCTCTTCACTTTTTTCTTAAAGTCCATTGAACTTCTTGATGATTAGACTGTGTGCTTCAGAATCCTGTTAGTGCATAACTACACCTGCTTCACTTCCTTGTAATCCCAACTGGTGGCATCCACAGTATTTAATGGATGTGGGGTCTTTGACCTCAGGCAGTTCCCCTGTCTGAGATGGTGTCTTTATTAGGAAGAATCCTCTCAAAATGCCAACTCATTAGGACAGAATTCAGTGAACAATTCAAAACATACACATTTCCCACATCTGCACAGTAATGATGGTCAGTTTTCAGAAACTGAAGAGCTTGGCAGTCAAACATGGAAGAGCTACTTCTTTCCATTACGAGGACGATACAAACTAGATTGATATGTAAGAACAATTTTTTTTTCCTCCTGGAAGGAAACAAGTTGTCATTTGAAAAATGTAAAATATAAAGAATTCCTCATAATTACTGAAAAATGGGAGGTTGATTTGTAAGCAAACTATGAGATAAGACATACTTATGTACTTCCTGAAACCTTTAAGCAACAAATACCATGTGGGAATTTTAAAACAAAAGTATTTTAAAGTTCAGTAATTAACCAAAAGTAATACTGTAGTCTGTCAAACATTCCAAAGCATGCATATTTTATAGGGCTTCAACAAATTTTCAAGATACTATCTACTTGGCTGTAAAAGTCCTGGAAATGTCAACCTTTTTTTTTTTTTAAATGTGAATAACTGCAAAACATCTGTTATCACCTAGAAGTGCTTAGAGCAATCAAGGAAAAATACCTCAATACCTGCTCTAACATTGTCTCTCAAGTCAGCTTCTCAAAGGAAGCCTTGGAGAATGAGTATCTGTTTTTCCTAATGAAGTGTTAAACTGCCAGCAGCCAGTGAGACTGACTCCCACAGATAAGCCACTGCCTTTTAAGCTGGAAAATAGTGGGTGAGACCCCTTGGAGATTTTTAACTGAAAAGAGTTATATTGAACTGTTAAGCGAGCTTGTCAGTTCATCTTCTTGAGTGTTTCTCTTGTTTTTGCTGACCCTCTGTTTTACCAAACATGCTTTTCTAGTGAAATATAGCACGTCTCACCACTAGTCATCCTAAGTGGGATTGGTAAGAGTGAGGAACCAGCTCTGAGGGGTAGGCCTGTTACTGGGTCATTTACAATTTGGGTGTGTGAACACTTTTTCTTTGCCTACTTTGTTTGGTGCTAAATGTAAAATTAGTTCTAAAGTGCTAACTTGTACAGACACACCTTTTGTGAATCTCCTATCCTAAGGAAGTCAGAGCAGAGTATTCCCCTTGAAAAAGCCAGGAAGCAGCCTTGCAGGTTGCAGGGGCAGGACTAGCTTGGGGTATGCAAGGCCTTCTGGGGGTCAGCCCAGCACAGATTTAGAGGACAGCTATGATGCAATTATTCTCTTCTCACCATCTACTTTTTTATTATTATTTATTTATTTGTTTATTTATTTATTGTCTATCTCCTGTCCCGTAGGGCTAGGTCCTGTCTTATTAAAGGAATGGGTTAATTTTTCCTCCCCTTCAGAAACAAGTCATTTTTTGGGATTACTCTTAATGGATTAAAGAAGTTCTGGAAATGTTATCAAATTCAAAGAGAGTTCAGCAACATTTTACAAGTAGACAGTGTTGAAGAGGAATTTCTAACATCTCGAGAAAGCGCAGTGGCAGAAAAGAAACTCCTAAAGAGTGTGTACGCTAGGATTCCATTTTTGTTTTCAAATGTGACATATAGGAGTCAGAATTATGATTGCTTTCCATTTTCCTCCTTTTGCTCATCTGCATTTAAAGCTTTTTCCACAGTGAAGTGTTATTTTAACACTTGGAAGGAATATTCAGAATTAGAAGGCTGCAGGGGCTTTAAGGGGAGAAAAAAAGATGAAGCTTAGAATGGGGAGTAAATGAAAATTGAAGTCCTGGTGTTCCTAAGAAAACAATGTGGTGAGTGTGTCTAGAAATGTTATGGTTAGTTGGAGAAAAGTAAACATGTCAAACATTTTCAGAATAGAAATACAAAACAAACTAGAATTTAAGGCATTGTTAAAAGATGAAAGTTGTAATAACTTTACTCTTTTCAGTCTCCTGAATTTGCACTTGGGGGACACAAAAAGTCTTCTACTTGGAGAGTTTTTTAAAGAAAGCACTCTAAATTAAATCATATCTGTGTGAGGGTAGTCACAGTCCAAGAACCCTGACTGGAAGGGGGTCTGGCTGTCCCCCATGGGCAGAGCTGCGTTGATGGGGAAAGCTGAGCTACTGTGTTTCCTACCACCAGTCCCCTTTCAAAGAGGCTTATGATGCCATCCCCATTCCCCTCCTTTTCCTAGGGGTATCACTTTCCTCCTTGCTCATCCCTGGCATCTCATCTTTCTGCATTCCCGTTTCTCCATCTTGTCCTGAAATCCATCTTTAACAGGAGAGAAATACTCCAGACTTGTTCTGGCTTTGTCATGGATTATCAGAGGGACCCTAAGTGAGCACTGATTTCTCTGGACCTCTATTTCCTCAGGTGTAAAATGAGGAAGAACTGTGTTCTAAGGAAGTCTAGCCAAAGATTTGATTTACGTATGGGCTTCCTTGGTAAGATTGGATTTGGGAGTCTAAAAAATGGTTGTAAACTACTGGGCTTCCTGAGCTCTAAGGCCCCGTCTTACCTCCACACCCTGATAGAGTTAAATGTGGATGCCTCCAGAGCCTCTGCCGCTTTCTGCTCACTGTCTGCACAACCTTTGCCCTCTGTTCTTTCCCTAACATGAGCTCCACTTATCAGCTGGCTGGACTAAGGTCCAGCTCTCAAGGTCTCTTGACTTGCAGGCCAGTGATCTTTCTGCACAGTTCCTCTTGGGCTGCCCTCAAGGACCTACCACA